CAGTGCAAGACTAGAGGGAAGGCAGCTAGTCATCACTCTTTTACCAACGAATAGTGGGATTGACCGACACATTATAACACCCCATGTTTGAAAGGGTGAGTATGTTTAGTGGGACGGGGATTCGAACCCGCAACCCTCAGATTGCGAGTCATGCCAGGCCTAGTATATTGTGAATCGAGAAAAAAGGGTTCAAAGCCAATGTTTATAAAATAGACAAAAGAGTCAATACAGTTAGATTTAATAATAATATCTGAAGGTGTTCTAGGAGTGATTAAATGGCAGACTTTTATGACACTAAGTTAGCCCACCAAAGAAGAAAAAATAAGTTGAGTCTTATTTTTAAAATAATTATAGCAGGATACCACCTTATACTGGTTCAGTTCTAGGTTCAATTACAGTGATAATAGAAGGATACCACCTTATATTGGTTCAGTTCTAGGTTCAACTAGAGTAATAATAGAGGGATACCTCCTATTATTTTCCCAGTTCTAGGTTGAAATAGAGTAATAATGGAGGGATATATTGGTTCAGTTCTAAGTTTATTCTACAAGTATGGTAATGACTTCAGCCAAGTTAGGGCATGGAGTTACACTGCCGTAACTCTATCTATTTGCAGGACAGATATTTTGGATAAATCAGTAGTTTAATAGATATTCGAAAATCCGGAATACCTCTATTCTGATATATTTAACATACATTTAAATCACATTCAAAACACCAGTATCATATCTGTTTTATATTAAGAAAAATTAGCATTTAAAAAGTGGGAAAAATAATGTTGTTTTTATCGTATGCCTTCTTGCTCTTTTCTAGTATCAAGATAACAGTGGACAAAATAACTAACTTGTCAAAAAAGCTGTAATGGCGTACACTTATAATAATATTCACAAAATAGAAATAGTATTACAGAGTATTACAGAAAACAGTTTTAATTTAAGTAAAACAAAATTAAAAGGAGCGGAAGTATCTATATAAATATAATAGTACTGCCTGTTGTATGTTATCTATATAAATACAATATTACTGTCTGTTGTGTGTATCTATATAAATATAATAGTACTGTCTGTTGTATGTACCTATATAAATATGATAGTACTGTTTGTTGTATGTACCTATATAAATATAATAGTACTGTCTGTTGTATGTACCTATATAAATAGAGTAGTGCTGTCTGTTGTATGTATCTATATAAATATAATAGTACTGTCTGTTGTATGTACCTATATAAATATAGTAGTGCTGTCTGTTGTATGTATCTATATAAATATAATAGTACTTTGTTGTATGTATCTATATAAATATAATAGTACTTTGTTGTATGTACCTATATAAATATAATAGTACTTTGTTGTATGTATCTATATAAATATAACAGTACTATTTGTTGTATGTATGTATATAAATATAACAGTACTGTTTGTTGTATGTATGTATATAAATATAACAGTACTGTTTGTTGTATGTATTTATATAAATATAATAGTACTGTCTGTTGTATGTATCTATATAAATATAATAGTACTGCCTGTTGTATGTTATCTATATAAATGCAATAGTACTGT